AGAGGCAATTGAGAAAATCATTACCCAGGCCAACGAAAGGCTTGTGGAAGTGATTGTTGATCGAGAAGTGACAGACATGATTCCCCAATTAATTGAAATATTGACGGACCATTGCCCAAATGTTTCTTATATCAAAATTTTCTTGCGAGATGTGGAAAAAATCAAACTATTATTTTCGCGTATCGCCTCCTCAAAACTTAAAAAGCTTGTCATTCGCACGAATGGTGTTGATGCCACCGAAATTCTACCGTCGTTATCCAAGCTCGTGCCATTATCCTTGTACCAACTTGATATGGACGTAAGGATTTCACCAAATTCACTGCAATCATTCTTAAATAATTGTGAAGCGCCAATAAAAACTTTAATTATGACTTTTGGACGCGTTGGAGACGAGCATATGGAGGTTCTTATGAAATATGCGCTAGAAAGGAAAAGTCTGAAATCTTTCGGGTTCATGTACGAATCGGGGTGGGGTGAACTGAAGGTTTCAGAAGAGGTTGAAAATAGAGCGAAGGAGATCTTTGACCTTCCCGATTTATTTGACCCCAATGACTTCTATTTTCAATATTCCGATAATGAGGTCGACGATTCAGGATGGTAACGCCGAGCTCTGCTGATATTTCAGTTCTAAAAAATGTTGGAACACCATGATGAGTTTTGTCTTGTGAAAATTTGCCTGAAGTGATGAAATTTCGCAATATATAGGCCAAAGTTTTGTTGATAAAAAAACATTAGAATGTAATATATATGAGAATTAATTAAGACGAATGCATTTCGTAACTACTTAGGAAGATCAGGCCGAAGATTTCAGCACCTTCGGATCCACAACTATAATACAAAATCAAAGACTTTCTAGCGTTATTGAGGGCCACCGTGATACGCCAGAATTAATGATATATGATGCATGATATTCAGATGAAATTTCGATTCCATTTTCACAATTCAATTCAATGTCAAAAACGTGCTTTTATTGAAAATTATCGAGGCGAAAATTTAGAAATACTTGTTCAGCTCTTATCCGATTTAAAGGCATTAATACAAAGTAGTCCAAGAAATGATTCGTTACATAGTAAATCTAAATCTCAATACAATTCCTTACAATCACTATCGCAATAATTCAAATTGGAATGTGTTCTTCGCTAAAAGGTTACACGTTCCGTTGTGATTCCCAATATTTGTAGATAAAAGTATTTCTATACCCAGGCATATATTGGTGGTCGGTCGGAACATGAATTATTCGGAGTATTTGATTTTCGTGTAATAATTTTCAAATCGAGCTTTTTTTGTTGAAATACCTCAAACTATTTTTTTTTGTTCGAATATTCACGGAATCGTTAAATTGAGACAGAGATATCCATCAATTTTAAGATTTTCCAAGGATATTTACTGACACATTCCTTCGTCTTTCTTCCCTTGAAGAAAGCCTTAACACAGTTGTACTGTATGTTTAAAAATATAAGGAATTTATGACAGCATTTTCCTTGGACTGCTTTGATTCAATATTTAAAAAAAAGAGGTGTGTTTTCCGAATATGACGTCCTACACAAATTATGAAAAGTTTTTCAATTTTGATATATGTCTATAATAATCCTTCACGGTTATTTATTTTATATAAAGTGTTTCTGTTCTCTAGGAATTTCTTTTTGTGAGGTATAACCCTCCTGGAATTGGGATTAAATACACCACATTTATAAACCTCTCGGTAATCTTGATGATAATATCTTCGAAGTTCGCTCATACATGCCAAAACCTGTTCTTTTCTTTCTTCAATCCAATCTTCTTTTTCATGTTCTTCCAGCGAGTTATACTCCATCTTGGTGAGTTCTATGTCAGGAATCCAATAGATTATGTAAATTTGGTAGTAAAATAATCTTGTATACGGAATACATCCGAATAGTTCACGGGGGATACATCTCGGTCGTTCACCTTTTCTGTTTTCGTAAGAGCATTTGAGAGTGTTGACACTTTAGTTCATCTATCAATCAAGTCAATTCTCAATAAAAATGGCAGGATTACTCACATGGTATGAATG